TTCCCATTTTTAAGGGCAGCAGCTTGTCCTGAGGTGAGGTAACCACCACACCTGCAGTAAAGGCAGAGGAAAGTCAAACAGTGCACCTGCAGCTTTGGAGAAAATGGAAGCAGGAAAATCCATAATGTTTGCTTGATGTATATATCCAAAATATTAAATTCCTTATATCAACCTAATCCTGTGATGCCCAAATTAACACCATCCCTAGTCTGGCACTTGTTGGCCCATAACCAGAACTTTGTCTCTGCACTCAAATCCCATTGCTTTGCTTTCTGCTTCTTGAAAGAGCAGCAATTTGGGTCATTTTGTGAATCACAAAAACGTGTAATACCCCAGTTTTGTCTTTTGTCACCATGTGACCTACTTTGGAAGTTTCTCCCTGGATGATTAAGAAGAGAAACAGGGACAGAGCTACCAGAAAAGCACAAGTTCTCCTGCATGCAGTTAAAAAAGCTGTGTAAAAATAACCACCCACCACCTCCAATCCACTGCAGCAGCTCAACACCAACCTTTTTTATTGGTCGTGAAGTATTTGGAGTCCGTCATGGTTCCAGCTCCTTAAAACACCTGAGAATATGAGGAATAAAAAAAGAACAAATCAGCTCCAAATGCAGTTTGGTGGCAACAGCCAGTTTGTGAGGCAGGAACTCAAGCAAGGATGGTTGGTGAGGGAAGGAGGAAGCAAAAGCTTCACATCCACAGGCACGAGTTCCCCAATCTTCATCCTGCACCTGCTGCTGGTTTTACTTGGCAAACACAGGGATTTAAATGGCTTGCTAAAAACACAACAGTGCTGCTCAGCCCAGCTTCCTAAATTCTCAGTCTCAGCAGGCAAAAGGTATTTTTTGAACTCCTTATAACCAGCAGATGCTGGCGTGCTGTGCAGCTGCCTTTCCTGGGTACACAGATTCATTTTCCAAGGAAAAGCACATCCAGTGTCTCGCCTGGCAGGGAGAAGTGCATGTTTCAGACAAAGGAAACTGTCATCTCATCTCCCCCTAACGATATCTGCCTGTGCTGCATCTCATGGAAGGCACAATTAACCCCACTTGCAACACCCACCCCCAGGCCTTTCATTCCTTTCCCTCCTTTTGTTCCCTGCAGATGCAAAACAGTGTTTTTTTCTGAAAAGAGAAACCATTACTTTTCAGTTTTCTCAAGCCTGAAATTGAAATATTTCTCTGCCAAGATCTGACATCCCACCTCTGAGACACACGCACACAGCTCATTATTTCTGTGCTGCTCTGCTTTTTTGGTTTTTTTTTTTTTTTGTGGACAGGATGGAAAAATGCTGTTGGAGCAGCAAATGCTCAGCAGAGCCACAAGAGTGGTCTCACCAGTACCACAGAACTAAATTAATGCCTTGGAATACAGGTATTACCCAAACACATGTGGATATCCATCATTTTATTCTTACAATTGCTAGCGCTGTGATAAATAGGAAACAATTTTCAAAACAAGCAGAGGAGTGGGCACTTTTACTGCTTTTGATGAAAGGCTGTATCAATGCTAGGAACTATGACCCTAAAACCATCTCAAAAAGGATTTGATCATTTCTTTCCTCCTTTTTTTATCTTTTTGGCCCCAATTCCCCTTTTCTTACACATCCTTCCACGACCTCAAAGGCTGCCAGCAAAGCAGTAAATCATGTTCCCTAAATGCTGCCTGTCTTGCCTCTAAGCCCTGCAGGTCTTGCTGGCTCAGCAGCAAAAGGACCAGCACAGCTCTGAACTCCAGGGCTGCCCAGCAGTGCAATCAAACTGTTCTTCCTTAACCCTTTCCTCCCTCATCCCTTCACCAGCCCCAATGCCATCACCTTTCCATGTTCCCACATCCACCTGGACACGCCAGCAGTTCAATTCCCAGCAGTGCCCCAATTTCCACCCTTTTTTTCATGGATCATCCTGTCCAGCTGCCAAACATCTGCATGAGGATCAACCTGTTGCTTTTCCCAGTTGCCTTGTGCTGCTGCCTGCCCTGTTTCCACCTCATCCAGTTAGGCTGAATGACTGGGTTTGCTTTGATTTCTCTCCCTTTCTGCTCCTGCCAAGCCTGGAGACAGCTCTGGAAACACACTCCTCGTGCAGAGGAGGTTTTAACCTCCTTCCAAAACAGGGAAAGCCACAATGAGTGCAATTTTCCCAGCAAAAAAAAAAAAAAAAAAAATCTCACAGCCCCTCCCTGAAAGCAGAGGCTACTGTGGAGCTTGTTTTGTAATTAAAATCAGACTCTGTGTTCAGCTGCAACATTATTGCTGACAGAGGCCCTCGGGTTTGAGCTCAGCTTAAAAGGAAGACTTAAATAAAATGTTTTTCTCTGCCAGAGAGTTTGGCACAGGGCCATGCACAAAGCACTGAACGCGGCCTCGATGTTCTTTGTTTGCATTATGTGGGGATTTGTCAGCCAGGGTCACATCTCAGCTGAGCCACTCTAATACAGCTTTAACTGGGGCCACAGCAGCAGATTAGGGAGAAAATGGAAGGGGGGAGGAAAAAACCCAACCCAAACATTACAAACATCAGCCCAGCTGAATAAAGCTACACACAGAGAGGAAGGAACCCTGCTGGATTTCAGAGATGGTCATTAAACCCCAAGGGCAGCACATTATGTTGTTTTTCTCCTTTCAGATATTGTTGTTTTTCTCCTTTCATTTACTTGGAAACGTGAAAAATCCTAGAAACACTCAGGCAGGGCCAAGCACAGCTCATGCCTCCTCTGATGGAGGTAAATGAGAGCTGCCTTAGGTGAATAACCAACCTGCCCTACTCCATGTGCAGCACAGGAAAAAGCTGCTTTTCTCACCAGCACACAGATTGCTGCTTCATGTGTGTCAGAGCTTGCTTTGCACACTGTTCAGAGACAGCCTGCCAGCAGCACTGGGCATTATCTCATCACCAACAACCTCAGTGTGCTTCACAGCAAATGGAAGCAGATATTTCAAACACTGCACAAAATGCCAGCTCCTTGTAAATCTAAAACCAAGGAGAGCCAAGGGAAATTAGAACATCATGAACAGCTTTGTATTTTCAGAAGAAAAATCTGCTTTAGACTGCCCCCTCCTCACTAGAGATGGAAACAGGTAAGAGGTGCTCAGAGCTGACAGCAAAAGGCTCCTCCTGATCCAACCCCAGCAAATGAGGAGAGATGAGAGGGAGGAATGGCTCCAGAAAGCTCCAGCAATGCTCAGTGCTACCAACAGTGGCTTGACATTTCACTGCAGACTGAACCAAAGCAGGAAAAGCCTCCTCAGCCCAAACCCACACAGAAAACCTGACCCTGTGTCTGAGCAACACCTGCCTGACCCCACACACCACTCCAGTCAGCCTGAGCTGCTCCCCAGCACTGATCCCACACAGGAGGGGGGCAGGTTTAAGGGCCATGGGATTAAGGCAAGCTCCTGGACACTGAAACCATCAATCCCTAAATCTCCCCAGTGATCCCTGGTTTAGCTCCAGTGGAAATGGTGCCACCCATTTTTCCTGGAAAGCCTCTCAAGGAGCTGTGTGACAGCCCAAGCGTGGCCCAGGGCCACTGGAGAGCCAGGGAGACAAACAGAACAATGGAACGTGGATGGCAGAGGGAGAGCTGAGCCTGCAGCCCTGAACTTGTGCTGGCACGAGGATTTTGTTCCCATCCTGGGGACCAAACATCCCCATTCCATGGGAGCCCCATCCCAGCCCCTCCCACACCTCCAGCAGGACTCCCAGCACCCACCCACCCTCCACTGGCACCCCAGTACCGCCCTCAAGCCCCCTGCCCACCAGCCCTTCCTCCTCAGCACCACTTCCCAGATCTCTCCCAGTATCCCCCAGTCACAGCAGCATTCCCCACAAATCCCAGTTCCCCTCCCCAGCACTCCCAGTCCCTCTCAGCACCCAGCCCTAATCCCTGCCTGCCCCCACCAGTATCCCAGCACCTTGCCATGCTCATTCCCATCCCACCAAAGCCCATCCCAGTCCAATCCATCAACCCAAACCAGTGTCTCCTTCCAGGACCCACTGACCCCACCGCTCTCACCCCTCCATCTCCTCTGCAACCACCTGCCCAGTCTTCCCAGTGGCCTCTTCCAGTACATCACCAGAGCCACTCCCAGTGCCTCACCAGTGATTCTCCCCCCCATCCCAGTTCCCCTCTCCCAGTGCCCCTTCCCATCTTATCCCAGGTGTCCCTCCCAGTGCACCTCACCTCTCCCAGTGCCCCTCACCTCCTCCCAGTTCCCCCTCCCACCTTATCCCAGGTGTCCCTCACAGTATCCCCTCCCACCCTATCCCAGTTCCCTTTTCCAGTATCCCTCACCTCTCCCAGAGCCTTCTCCCAGAGCCCCTCACCTCCTCCTAGTGCCCCCTCCCACCCTATGCCAGATGTCCCTCCCATTGCCCCTTCCCACCTTATCCCAGTTCCCCCTCCCAATTCCCCCTCGGTGCCCCCTCCCACTCTATCCCAGTTGCCTTTTCCAGTGCCCCTCACCTCTCCCAGTTCCCCTTCCCACCCACACCAGTCCCCCCACCCCTCCTCTCCCCTCCCAGCCCCTCCCATCATCCCCCAGCCCTCCCTGAGCAGTTTCTCTCCCCTCCCTATCCCAGTTCCTCACACCTCCTCCCGCTATCCCCTCCCAGCGCCCTCCCCGCCCTATGGCGGCACCCCAGCACTGCCCTCACCTCTCCCAGCGCCCCCTCAGCCCCTCCCAACTCCCTGCCCGCCCTGTCGCAGTGCGCCGCCGCTGACCCTCACCGCTCCCGTGTCCCTCCCGCGCCCTCAGCCCCGGCCCCACTCACGGACCGGACTCACCGCTGCGGGGGCGGCGGCGGAACCGGAAGCGGCGGGGCCGGGCGGACTTGGATCAGCGAGATCGAACCCTCCCCGCCCAGAGCGGCCGCGCCCCGCTACCATAGAGCGGCTGCAGCGGGCGGAGCGCCGGCGGGCCGCGCTTCCGGGGGGCGGGGCGGGGCAGGGCAGAGGCGCCCCCTAGCGGCGGGGCGGTGTGGCGGTGTGGCGGTGTCATGGCGGAGGTGGGCGCTCACCTCACGGCCGCCCCGGCCGGGGAGGAGCGGCCGTCCGTGTTCGAGGCGGTGGCCCAGGACAGCCTGATGGCCGCCGTGAAACCCGCCCTGCAGCACCTGGTCAAGGTGAGGGTGAAGGGAGAGGAGGGGGGCTGGTGTGTAACTCCGGGGCACTCGCAGGCAGCGGGACATTTGGGAGCCACCTGGGTTGTTTGAGAATTAGAGGCGTCGTTTATTTCTGCTGTGATTTATAATTTAGCATTTTACTGCACTTTCAGCTCCTTCCCTGTGAGGGTGGGGAGGCCCTGGCGCAGAGAAGCTGTGGCTGCCCCATCCCTGAGCGTGTTCAAATCCAAATTGGACGGGGCTTGGAGCACAGGGACAGTAAAAAATGTCAGGCTGGAACCACATAATTTTTAATGCTCCTTCCAACCCAAACCGCTCTGATTCCTCCTGTTTTGTGTCCCTTTTGCAACAGGTGCTTGCCGAGTCCAACCCTACCCGGTACGGTTTCCTCTGGCGGTGGTTTGATGAGATTTACGTTCTTCTGGATTTGCTGCTGCAGCAGCACTACCTGGCCAGGTGCAGCGCCTCCTTCTCGGAGAACTTCTACAGCATGAAGAGGATCCCCATGGGAAGCGGCAGACAGCGACCTCTGGCCACAGCTGGCCTGCCAAAGAGGCACCACTGGAAATCTCTGCTCCTGCTGGTTCTTGTTCCTTACCTGAAAGGAAAGCTGGAGAAACTGGTGTCCAGCCTGAGGGAGGAGGATGAGTACTCCATCCACCCTCCCTCGTCATCCTGGAAGCGCTTCTACAGAGCCTTTCTAGCTGCTTACCCCTATGTAAACATGACCTGGGAGGGCTGGTTTCTTATCCAGCAGCTGTGCTACATCCTGGGCAAGGCTGAGCATCATTCCCCCATGCTGAAGCTGGCTGGTGTCCGCCTGGTCAGGCTGACTGCAGAGGATATCCAAGCCCTGGAGAAGAAATGGGCTGAAAGCACCTCAAGTCAAACACACAGGTATGGCAGAACCTGGCTCAGGTGTTGCCCTCCAGGGTGTTCCATGGGTGTGTAAATTTAGAGGTGATGCTGCAAGGAAAAGTGCCTTGTTCTCCAAAAATTCAAATTGAAAGTTCACAAAATGTGCTCCAAAAGGGTGTATTGAGAGCGAAAATAAGGAAACCAGTAGCAGGGATTAGCTTGAAACTATTTTTTGGTAATAAAATTTCAGACTTTGGGGGTGTTTTTGGGCATGCAAACCTTTATTCTGTTCAGTCTTGCCCTGCACTTTTCCAGCAAAGGAGGGGCAGCAGTTGCAGCAATGTTGCTGAAAGGATTGAAACTTATTTCTTTGATTTTCCTAAGCAGCAGCTGGTCATGGCCACACTGAATACCCTGTGAAATGGTGACCTGGAGTGAAACACCCTGTGCTCCAGGATCCTTTAATCCAAATTCTTCTGATTTAAACTTCTGAAAAAAACAGGATTTTGGATCTTCCTTAAAATAAAAAAAGAATCTGAAAGATCCTAATAAGTGCAAACATGGGACCAACTTAGCATGAAGGAGCTGTGTGAAGCTGTCACTCCCCAGATGCTCTTCCCCATGGTTTCTAGATGGATAAATGTGCAGTAGTAACCATCTTGGATCTTCCTTAAAATAAAAATCTGAAACATCGTAAGAAGTGCAAAAATGGGACACAGTGACCAACTAACTTAGCATTAAGGAGCTGTATGAAGCTGTCACTCCTCAGCTCTTCCCCATGGTTTCTAGATAGGTAAATGTGCAGTAGTAACCATCTTGGATCTTTCTTAAAGTAAAAAAAAAGAATCTGAAACATCCTAATAACTGCAAACATGGGACACTAATTAGGATAACTAATTTAGGATTACAGAGGTGTATGAAGCAGTCACTCTCCAGGTGCTTTTCCCCATGGCTTCTAGGTGTGCAGTAGTAACCATCTTGGATTTTCCTTAAAGTAAGAAAGAGAATCTGAAGCATCCTAATAAGGGCAAACATGGGACCAACTTAGCATGAAGGAGCTGTATGAAGCAGTCACTCCCGAGGTGCTTTTCCCCACAGTTTCTAATGGATAAATGTGCAGTAGTAACCATCTTGGATCTTCCTTAAAATAAAAAAAGAATCTGAAATATCCTAATAAGTGCAAACATGGGACACTAACTTAATGTTAGTTAGCTCCTTAATGTTAGTTAGCTCCCTAACTAACTTAATGTTAGCTCCTTAATGCTAACTCAGCATTAAGGAGCTGTGTGAAGCTGTCACTCCCCAGGTGCTCTTCCCCATGGTTTCTAGATAGGTAAATGTGCAGTAGCAACCATCTTGGATCTTCCTTAAAGTAAAAAAAAAGAATCTGAAGCATCCTAATAACAAACATGGGACACAGTGACCAACTAACTCAGCACTAAGGAGCTGTATGAAGCTGTCACTCCCCAGGTGCTCTTCCCCATGGTTTCTAGATAGGTAAATGTGCAGTAGCAACCATCTTGGATCTTCCTTAAAATAAAAAAAGAATCTGAAACATCCTAATAAGGGCAAACATGGGACCAACTTAGCATGAAGGAGCTGTATGAAGCTGTCACTCCCGAGGTGCTTTTCCCCATGGTTTCTAGATGGATAAATGTGCAGTAGTAACCATCTTCCTTAAAATAAAAAAAGAATCTGAAACGTCCTAATAAGTGCAAATATGGGACACAGTGACCAACTAACTCAGCATTAAGGAGCTGTGTGAAGCTGTCACTGCCAAGGTGCTCTTCCCCATGGTTTCTAGATGGATGAATGTGCAGCAGTAACCATCTCTCCCTGTTTCTCTCTGCTGCAGCTTTGCCTCACGAGTGCAGTCAGCCCTGAGGAGAGCTCTGGGCGCCGTCGCCGTCTCGCTGTCCACCGGCCTGTCCGTCAGCGTCTTCTTCCTGCAGTTCCTGGACTGGTGGTACTCCTCAGAAAACCAGGAGACCATCAAGTCCCTGACAGCCCTCCCCACGCCCCCACCCCCTGTGCACCTGGATCACGAGCCCAGCTCAGCCGTGCTGCCCAGCCTGAAGTCCGTGTGCCCCCTGTGCCGCAAGGTGCGCGTCAACGCCACGGCCCTGGCCACGTCCGGCTTCGTGTTCTGCTACCGCTGTGCCCACGGCTTTGTGAAGGCTCACCAGCGCTGCCCGCTCACGGGCTATGCCACAGAGCTGCAGCACCTGGTCAAACTCTACTCCCCTGAGAGCTGAAGGGCTGCCAGGAGCCTCCAGCAGCTCTGTGGGCATCCCATGGAAGGCTTCGGACAGCTCCTGGGTGAGCTGCGCAGCGCTCGCTGGTTCATCAGCTTTGCTGCCTTTGCACGCTCTGGCAATGCTCTGCCCTTTGTTGATGAGCTGTTCAAACATCCTGGCAGCTGCAGAGGTATCACACAGCCCCAGCCTGTCAGCCAGCACAGAAATGCCTTAAAGGACCAGCTGAAAGGGAGGAAACGTTGATTTGGATAAGAGGAATGCAAATGTGTGGATTAAAAACCAGCACTGGTGCTGCTGGAGGGCGTGAGCCAGCAAATTAAAGAGGTAGGGAAATTCTCCAGGCAGGTTTTTCTTCCCTGGCCCTTGTGCTGCCCAGGGTGAGCTCTGGCTTTGCCAGAGGTGGAGACAGGCTTAAACCTCTGCTCTTCAGCCTCCTGCATTTTCAGGCTCTTCACCTTGGAATTGAGAACATCACCCTCCTAATTCCCATCAACGGTTCTAAATTAAGACTTTTGACTCTTTAAGGGAACATGATGGACAAGAGGAATGTGACATTTTCTGCACAAGAGAGAAAATGACAAACCAGATTAAAACAAACTCCTAATTGATGAGAATGGTTTATTGTTAAATAAGTTTTTGCATTAATTATTATCTGCTTTTATAAAGCAAAATTCTTTCTTGATTGAGAACCTAATTTAATTCTTTTCTGGTTATTGGAAAAACAGTTTGCTCCTCTGGGGCCTCTATTTACATAAGAGAAACAAGACTAAAGCTGCTTTCATCTTTCCATGTGATGGTGGTGGATGTAAGATTAGCATTTTGTAGGCTGAGAATCTTTAATGTCTGAGCATTACATTGCAATTATTCCAGTCCCAGCCATGTAACACATTCATATCAGAACAAAACATCCTTGCACTGAACACAGGAGGGAAGAAAAGCTGTGTGACATGGCTGGCTCTTGCTTGACACCTGATTTTTCAGATGAAAGGCTGTTTTCCTGACTCTAGGGAGCAGCAGTGCTCCAGATATCACAGTGACAGTGCTTAGAGAATACAAGAGCAAAGTTTCTGCACAAAGTCCAAACCCCACTCTGGTCTTTCCAGATTAAGAGATTTAATTTAACATTTAATCCACTGAACCAGGCATCTCATTTTAGCTCTGCTTCAGAAGATAAAAATCTCCAATATCCTCCTTCACCTGCAAGCAAGAGAGTAAGGTTATTGAATAATGTGGGAAAATGCAGTAATTTGAACCTTCCCCAAACCCCTAATAAATGAGATTTGTTCCTGATGCTTTATTATCTCTGTACACCTCCCTGACCCTTCTACCTGTGCCCCTGTGGAATAATAATAATAAAAACTGTCTCATTTCTCTCTTCTCCAGTAAAATGGAGTCCATGAAGATACTCCTCTTTCATTAGAGGGCAATTAGAACACACATCTTACTGGAAGACAAATCACATCAAAGTGTGAGATTTTCTGAGGTTCCAAATCACTTTTTACTTTTCGTTAATGTCCTGGTGACTCCAGTGCAACAGCTCATTTAAATAAGCATTTGACTGATGATTCCTTTTCAGGATAGGTTTATTTTCCTTTTATCCTTCCTGTACTTTCCAAGTTATTTGCCTGCTGCTCAGGGAGAGGCTGGGCAGGGGTGGGACACTCACCCCCAGCTCTGCAGGGCTCTTGGGGAGGTTCATCCTCCCTCTAATGCAGGATTCACTAACACACAACAGTTATTTCATCCCACACTGCTCCAGGGCCTCTCCAGCTCCTTCTCCCAGGATTAATGCCTCTCCCTCTCCCCAAAAAGCCCACCAGATGCCCACCTGCCAGGCCCTGGCTGCTTTCCACTCCTGCACAACCCCCTGTCCCTGCCAAACTTGGGTTTGGCCACCTCCAGGACCTGCACAGAACCACCCACATTGAATCCTCCCAGTTCTAAGCAGCTGTAATTACTCTTTCACACAATAAATTGTCCTGCAAAGCTTAGCTGAGTAACAAGCATCAAACCCACCATCTGACAGGCTCAGCAGTTACCTGGCAGATTTTGTGTGATCCTGGAGATGACTGCAGGATGCCAACTTGGAATTGACTCCTTTGAAACCTCCTGTCCTTAGCAGCCAATTGATACTCATTGTCAGGTTTCTTACTCTAAAACTAAGCTACAAAAACAATTTGGGTTATAGAAAAAATCCCATTTATCTGCTTTTTAACTGTGTTCTTAAAACCACAATGGGCTAAAGATTGACAAGAGAAGTTTTTTTTCAGGGAGCACCAACTTTATCAAAGCAACCTTTGGACTTTTTCATCAACATTAACAGCAGCACTGGAGTTGTTCAGTATCTACTACCAGGACTTGACTTTGCAAGTCTTTTAAAAATTCTTTAGTAAACCTAAGGCACATTCACAGCTCATCAAGGCAGTATTCAAAAGTTAGAGCATGAAGCAACTGAGTTTTTGCTATTTCCTTAACAGAAACAAAGTAGCTTCTCCTGTTAAGGGAAAACCACTAAAACATACTCCTAGGTGTATATTCCCCATGGATGCTTCTTTCTTCACAGGAAGAGAGAAATCAATATAAAGATGTCATCAGCACCTGGAAAAGAAAAAAAAAAAAACAAAACTGAATTAGAGAATAGCATCATCTCTTTTCTTAGGTCCTTCCCTCAACGCCAAAGGGGTTGCACTTCATGGAGAGTATTCCAAAAATACTCCTGGCTCCCTGCTGGCAAGCACTAAATGAGAATACAGCTGAATGAACTGCTAATGAGCTTCTACAGGACAGACAGCTCAGAGTCTGCACTGCACTAACACAGGAGACACAGTGGCAGAGGATCTGGAGTTTGTAATCCATGGCACACACAGGAGATAAACCCACATCCTCCCCTCCCTGCAAACTCACATAATGCTGCAACAACGAGTATTTGGGTTATTTTTCAAATCAAGGCTTCTTCTACTGTTAAACTGCTAAAAATTTTTAGAATTTCTTTTTTTAGGGGGCATCAAAGTTTCAAGAACAGCAAAGCTGTTCCCTGCAGACGAGCTTGGCCTAAAGTAGCTCAGAGAGAAGATTAGGTGATCATGCCCTGGTCAGAGCGGAGACACGGAGTCTCGGCAATACCAGTTCAGACTATACTTCGCTCATCATTGCTGCTGGGCAAATCTATTTGCCTCCAACAAGGAGCTCGCTCCCAAGCCAGGGCCTGGGAGGCTTCCTCCTCCCTAGGAGGATGAAGCACATGGAGCAGAGGAGCACAGGGATGGAGGTGATATTCCTTCTACAGCCGAGCAGAAGATGGGGAAGGCAGGTCACAAACTGGCATGCGAAGGTCAGCACAGCAGTACTAGGCAAATTCAAGAGGAAAAAACGTGTCATACCTTTAAATGCTGCTGAAGTCAGTGTCTCTCCAAGGCTCTAGAGGCCTGTCTGGATCCCTCCCTTCCCTCATGCCCCACGTTTACACTCTCTTCCCATCTCCTTCGCTGTACCCTCCCCACCAGGTCCCTGCAGCTCTTCAGTGCCCAGTTCCTCTGCCCGTGCCCATCCTATATCCCCCCGAGCTCCCCGATATCCTCCCGCATCTTACTAAACCGCACATGCCTTACACCTCGGCCGGGTACGGGCTCCTCAGACCCCAGAGCCTCTTCCGCGTCCCCTCACCCTCCGTGTCCCCACCCCCGCACACTCCGAGCCCTCAGCTGCCCCACCGCGGTCCCGCATCCCCCCGTATCCCGTATCCCATATCCCAAATCCCATATCCCGTGTCCCCTGTTCCCCTCACGCCGCTCCGCTCCCGCAGGCCCGGCCACACCGGGGCGGAGCCGCCCCCTCGCCCCGCCCATCCGCTGGTAACAACCAATCACAACGCGCGGCTCTGCCGGTAGGAGCCAATAGGATTGCGCGTTAGAGGAGCTGGGGGCGGTGCGAGCGTTTCCCGCCCTGAGGAAGCCTGAGCGGGGCTGAGGGAGCGGGTGGTCCCTGATAGTGTAAAACTCGTGTTCAGCCGATGTTTTTCTGAAAGAAATGCCAATAAATGGCTTTTCCAGAAGTTATTTCCCCAGTCAACTTCAGCAACAGTCAGTCAGTAGAACCTAGTTGCTCCAAAGAGAGGCTTTAGCAGGAGAAGGGAAACTTTGCCCTTCAATACCAATGGCATTTTGTCTTGGGGTCAGAGATGCTGGTTCGGTAAACCTGCATAGAGGCAATGGAAAGTACTTTCGAAAGCCAGATTCAAAAGCCCTAAAAATGGGTATCCAAAATGAAAGGCTGGCAGAAAACAAACCATATTTCCCACCACAGAATGTGGCTCCCTCAGTTTGGAAGAACAGCCAGCTCGTATCACCCAGCTGTGATTATAAAGCACCAGTGATTTAACTGAACCTGATTCCATTCATTGAATACAACTGGAATCACCCCCCAAATAAATATGCTTTTAGCTTATCAAACCTGTTAGCCTAAAATTTTCAATATTTTCCAAATTCAGGACACTAGAGACACTTTAAATTTTTTTCCCCCTTAACATGCAAGAAAAGACTATCCTCAGGGTTCTTTTCATAACCCAAAACCTCAACATTTCATCATGCCTATTGTGAACATCACTAATATTTAGTATGATCAGAAATATTTTAATGTGTTTGAATGAATATTCAAATAATTACTGAGTAAGATTATATTTATTACATGTTTAGGGACTTTTCCCCAGGAACTAAAACAACAGTCTGTGATTTTTGTGTTGTCCATAGCCTGCGTTAAGAATCTGTGCTTGAATGAAAATATTTATGTAATAAAGTTTAATGTGATGATGAGTGGTGGATTGCTTCTCATTATGCTTTTTTCATAAATGGGATATTTTCAATGTTCCTTGTGCCTTGATGTGACACCTTTGTGACTCTGCTACATTTGGGAGTTTACAAGGAGTGAAAATTCAATCTGTGTTACCAATTACTCCATTTTTCCAGATGTGGTGCAAGACTTGCCTTAAATTCTCCTTTAGCTTAATAAAATCAGAACAGGAATTCCATATGGAACAAAGCAGTGAATTTATTAAGAGTTCACCCACCATCCTCACACTTTGGCACACATCTGCCAATAAATGAACAAAAAAGCACACAGCTAAAATCCTATTTTCTGACTACAGAATAGAAGGCACTTAACCCTCCCTGTCCCACCATTGCTGGGAATTCCAGAAGTACCAGGAGCTGGAGGTGGTGGCAGAACAAATTTCAGCTTTGTTGAGTTTCCTTCCAGCAGCCTCCTGACATGTCTCCAACACAACCAACTCTTTTACAGCTGAAGCTTTCATCATTATCAGCTGAATGGGGGCAGAGAAAGGATTTACACCATCTGGGAATTACTCAGATGGACACATCCCAAATTTCCCAGGCAAATTCCCTCCTTTTCCTCATACACCTTATGACCCTCCAAAGCTGTCCCCAAACTATTCAGTGCCTTGACAATAGCACCAGATTCTCCTCATGGCTCTCACTTTTCTGTATTTCTCCATTTTTTCCCCCCACACTCAGCCTTTTTTTGGTGCTTTTAATTCCCTCACGCCTGAGAGAGAGGTTTGATCAGCTCGTAATCCATGCACTTGGTGAGGCAATCGCGTGCCACATTTATGATGTGCTGCTTCTTGGGGTGATCCTCCTGCTTCCCCACGTAGGTCAGGATTTCCAGGAGCTCTGACTCCACCAGCTTCTTGGCCAGCTCTTTGTCAGAGCTGATCAAGTTGAAGGCAATGACCAGTCCTCGGTGCTGGACCTCCATGTTGTCATGCAAGCAGAGCCTCTGCAGGATTTCAAGCCACTGGGTGGTCTGCAAAGGAAGGAGAGATCATTAGTACTGATCTGAAAAATATCTCAACAAGGAACATGACTTAGGCTTCCTTCAGTGGAAGGAAGAGCAGTACTCATGTCACTTATGGTATTTTTAACTAAGGAAACCTGACTCCAAACATTTTAACCCAATTTTTCTTACACCTAAGTCAGAATCTTCCACAGCACTGGGACTGTGATGGTGTTCACAGGGGTCTGAGGATGAGGGAAGAGATGAGGATCTGACTCCATGTTTCAGAAGGCTCGATTTATTATTTTATGATATATATTATATTAAAACTATACTAAAAGAATAGAAGAAAGGATTTCATCAGAAGGCTAGCTAAGAATAGAAAAAGAAGGATTTAATAACAAAGGCTTGTGTCCTGGACAGAGAGTTTGACCCAGCTGACTGTGATTGGCCATTAATCAGAAACAACCACATGAGAACAATCACAGATGCACCTGTTGCATTCCACAGCAGCAGATAACCATTGTTTACATATTGTTTCTGAGGCCTCCCAGCTTCTCAGGAGAAAAAATCCTAAGGAAAGGATTTTTCATAAAATGTGTCTGTGACACTGGGACAACATGGA